GAAGACAATAAACTATTGTGTCTGGACAAGCTGATACTGTTTACTCTTTTGCTTGTGTTCTTTTTGGGGGGGTTTCATGTGCATATTAGCAGAATATGATTGCTAATTTCCAGCCAGCTGCTACAAGCTGTTGGCCAAAACTATCAATCTCTGTCTATGAGGGAGCTGAATACAAATTGGTAATGGACAAAACACATTATACAGAAAAATACAATAAACAAATCAGATGAGAAAGAGCTTGTGTGGATTTAAATACTGTGACACATTTGTATGTTGAAGTCTTATTATATTCTCGATTACCATCCAGTGACAGACTTAAGTTCGGATGGCCATGCTTAGTTGTTTATGTTGTTAATGACCTAAAGGCACATACTAAATGTGTTAAAATACGGCGTTTTTTTTACTATATCAAGGACAAATTGAATGTTGTAGAATCCCAGCAGGAGGTACTGCATGGTGATGTGTTTGATTACTAGAAATGCACCAGAGGTCAGTGTGAATCAGAGGTCACAGTAGTTGACGCTTCTGTAGCCTCCACCAAAGCAGCGCCGCTGCTCTGGCGTTTGATGAGCGCACTATTTTGACACTCATCTGGGCCTCCTTGTTAACTCCCCCACAACAGATCTGATGTGCTTAGACAGGCCTACGCTGCATATTAGTGGGGCTGGTTGAGCTCAGATTGCAGTGCAGCACACTTGAAGGATTTAGCACGAAGACGCTCTCTTGTGTTTCTTCCAATCACCGTGCAAGACTTAGAATTGAGGACAAAAAGCGTTGCCAAATCTTAAACAATCTGTGATGTAGGGCCAAAACATTTGTAGGGATCTACAATATGTCAACAAGACAGCTCACCAGGTGACGGATTAGCTGCTCCTTTCTAGCTAAATGTGTGGTAATTGGTAAAGCTGGCTGCTGTTGAATTATGTTTTATTGCATAATTCAATTTTTTTCAGTTTTGTTTTTGTGTTTTGTAAAGGGGATGGAGGGGTGTGGTTTGCCATTATGGTGTTTGATCGTGGTTAAATTTGTGAGAACCCTCACTAACATAATGCAAACCCTAGCACTCTGACCCTAACCCCAACCCTTACCCTAAAATAACTCTAACTGCAACCCTACAACCAAGTCTAATTGTGCATTCAGACCAAAACCAACCCTGCATTAAACCGCTCCAGAAAGTCAACGTCGAGTAGTAGAGCCATGAGGCTTATCAGACGCCACTGTTTTATAATACTGTGAGAGCGGATTTTACAACTTTTGAAAGTTATCCCAGAAGCAATAATTTTCTCTTTGGTTGTGGTGGTCATGAGGTAAACAGTAGAAATAGAATAAAATCTGTTTCGGTCAAAGAATGTGAGTTGGCATGCATTTGATTGGCCAGTGCACAACACTGCCAGGTGATGTTGCATTGCAGCAAAACTTGTGCCAGGTTCAGGTTTTTGGTGGAGAGAGTGCTAAAGTCACTCTAGACACAGCCCTTAGAAGGAATCAGCACTGGCCAAAATGTCCTCACTTTTGAAAAATGTTCTCACTCTCAAGGTCTAAAACTCAAATCCTACAAGACAGATGTACAGCACGAGAGCAACGCACACACATTCACAAACACACTTTCCAGCGATCTGACCTGAAAACACCCCGATTCAACCTTGTCCTTTCCACACATTAACACTTAGTGACACAACATTTCAGTTCCAATAGTCCATCTGATACTTCTTTAGTACCGCTCACTATTTACTTTACTGGCTGCTGGTTTTCTGTCCATGTCCTTCAGTCAAACAGAACATGTGCAGGCTGTGAGTATATTGCAAGTATGGCCTACTGTGTGGCATGAAATGCTGAGAATGCAAAGGTTTCTGTTTCAAACACACACTTTGTTTACTTTTAGAAATGATAAATAACGTTCATGGTATTCAGTGCAATAACATTTCTGATTCAAATCTGGCTTGACAAGAAACACCAGAATAAAGAGCATAACATTATCATCAGGTCTGGACTAATTTTTGCTGTCGCAAGATAAAGCAAACAAACTGTAACGCAAACTTAGTTAACTGTGTCAAATAACAAATGGCATCTAGGATGGAAGTGGAGAGAGAACAAATGGGAATTATATAATGATCACATTTCATTACCCACTGTTATGCCACAGAGAATACCAACTAAAGCAAACAAAATTGTTTTGATGTCTGTGAAGCATCAGTGCCGGCTGAATGTTTGCAGGAATGCTACTTAGATTTTTATGAATGAGCAGCAACGTCCATTTCAATTTCATCTGGGAGGCGAGCACACATAAGGTCCCTTTGCTGATTCCAAATTTTAACGTCGGCAGGACTAGGAGGATTCCTCTCCTAGAAGCTTGAAAGGGAGAGCGCGGGGTGGCCTATTGATTTTGGAGAGCTGGCTCTGTAATTGCTTGCGCACAGAAAGCTGTAAATCAAAACTGCTGGTTACTCTTTGCTTATACAAGCGGAAGATTACTGTGCAGCAGTCGTGCCAATGCTGGAGCATGAAACCTGGCCCACGAAACAGACCAGTGTTATGTTGTGTAGAATAATGCATTGAAAGAAGCCGAGCACGGACTGACAGGAGCAGCTGGGTAGGGGAAAAGGTCAACCTGAGTTAATCAGCTAGAATCAGCATCAGCTGAGGAGAGGGTAACAATGTGTGTGTGTGTGTGTGTGTGTGTGTGTGTGTGTGTGTGTGTGTGTGTCTGTATGCATATGCTTGTAATACTGAAAAATAAACAATTAAATAGAAAGCACATCTTTTACATGTGCAAAAAGCTCTCAGAGAGAACACAGCAACAGTAAAAGGGCATCATGATAGCAGTGAGAAGCTGACTGTGAAAGCAGGGTTAAGTCAACAAAATGTCTGATACATAACATTTCATGATTAATACATGTCATAACATGTATGTGTACTCTGCTGGGACACAGGTGGTGTGTCTTCCCACCCATAACTCCAAAGGCTTGCAGCAGGTTGTGATAAAAATAAATGTGTGACGACTTTAACCCTGACAGGTAAAAGCACCACGACAGCCAGACATTAGTTAGTATGACTGCTCACCCGCTTGCCCGCCAGCTGGGCTTTCAGAGCCCTACAGGTGCACATCAATTTTTCAAGTTATGTTGACAAAAGCTTTCAGAGTCCTGCTCTAATTTATACAGCACATGTTTCTACCCCAACAAACGTATATAAGGAAAATATACCATGTGTTTCAGCACCTGGTAGCTCTACATCCCAAAAAGTGTTGCTCCTCCTATCTAATGTGTATATGTGGGCCTTTTTAAGGATGTACACTTCTTTTTATTTTACTCTTTTTGTGAATTTGCTTTGAATTGGTCTCCACAGTGTGAAATGTCATGACAACATTGACAGCTAGCAGTGTGTAGAAGATACTATATATAATGTTAACTGTGCAGCTACACTCATAAATTACAAAAACATTTTTAGTAGTAGTAGTTCAACATTTTGGGAAATACGCTTATTCGTTTTCTTGCCACACGCAGCTACAAGGCTCACGCACACAAATCCCATAAAAGAGTGAAATACTGTTTTTAAACTTCTGTTTTTGTACAGATTAAAAAATACATAACATGTTAATTAGTGACCTTTAGAGGGGCCAGTGGGTGGATTTTGGTACCTTTGGACAAAGCCGGCTGTTTCCAGTCTTTATGAACCCACCCATGAACACACCGGCTTACCACAACAATAAGCATACTAGAAATCTTCAAGTCATATTTGACTTACTTGCCTTTAATGTGTATCATTTCAGAACCACATGGTTCAGTTCCTTTCACTCTGCATCCGCTGCTTCCCCTGTGTGGTGCAATAATTTTCACTTTGTGTGTAGTACACCCATTTCACTCCCTCTAACCAGAGATCCAGGAGTCACCAAACCAAAGGACGTAAGCACTTGCAACCAACTGTCTTTTGTGTGTCCTTGTCACACTGTGCACTTCCCCCAAAATACCATGTTTCAAGTGTCATTTCCACAAACGAAGCCTTTTATGTGCATTCTGCTAGTCTGAAAAAAAGAGTGTATTCACAGATGTGCAGTTCTATAAAACTATAATTTTTTCCCTCCACATAAGTCTGTCATGCACTGACATAATGGGTCAGTACATTGTATTTGTATATGAGGGCACAGACCCTCATCTGCAGCTAAATGAATAGCTCTGTCAATAATTTATCATCTTAACCCTGTTTTCAGTCTTATGCATCCTTTAATAAATAAATAAAACATGTAGACATGGTAACTACACAGTAAATAACCCACAGCAAAAACACTGTCGTACCTTTAAGAATTTTGTACACTGGTGGTGCCAGTGTAGTCACGTCTGTAGCCCTCACAGAGAACAACCTTTCAGGTACTACATTATTGCTCGAGTATCTCACTAGAGATATGATCCGCATGCTGTTAAAAAGCCCCTCTGAGCGTTCCCACTCCAAACACAATTGGTTAGGTTTTTTTATCTGCCTGTCCTACATTTATTGTGTGTCAAACAATTTAGTGAACTGCCCAAGGCTTTGACTTTTTGAAGTTGCTCTTAATATCATTTAATATCAACTAATGATATAGGTCGAGACTCACTTTGTCATTACTGCAAAACATTTGGTTTCAGTCATTTAAAATGACAATTCAACCATTGTGAAAAGTTTTGGGGTGTTTTTACCCATTAGCACCGTTCATACTGCAGTACCTGCTTAAGTGTATCATCCTCCAGGAAAATGCTCAGCTCCTTTATTTAATACACTAACTAGTTACTCAGTTAACTGGGCTTCATATATTAAAGAGTGGCTCTTTAGTCTGAAAAGCAACCAGAAATACAATACAATACATCCCACACAGAACTATGGTATAAAGTAGGAGTAAATGTAAATACTCAAGTAAAGTACAAGTGCCTCGAAATGACAAATACAGCACTTAAGTAAATGTACATAGTTACTTTCCCCCACTGACTGTCAGTGTATATTTCAGGTGTGAAGTAGTGTTGGTATCATACTTGTGTTGGAATCCGTGGTTTGTATGGCGAGCTGCTCTCCAGGTCTGCCAGGATGCTGGTGAGGGAGTCGATCTCAGCATCCAGACTGGAGCGTCTCTCCTCCAGGGTCTTCTCTGGTCCTTTCATCTGTGTACAAACGTCACATATGTGTGCAGTACAGTTAGTGAATTTAACACGAGGCATTGGTTAAATGAGATATTTATATGCATCTTAGGTGATCTGATCATAAGCGGACAGCTCTATGTACAGATGTGAATGCAACCAATATAAATTGAGATGTGATCACTCAGAATTTGGTCGTGGTCTGGGCCGCATCTGACCACATTCTTCTAGCCATGCATACACGAATGTGTCCTGGGCCACAGTGAAGGACCGCCTACTCAAATCACATAATCTGCCTTGGTGGAAGTACATACTCAATTTGCACGCCAACAGCATCGTACTGAAGTGCAAAACAACAAGAAGCCACAGCAACAGGGAAAATGGATTCTCATGGACGGAGTACACACGAAACACGCAATCTGATTTCCATTTGTGGGAAAAAAAAATAAAAAAATACAGTCTTTCACTTCTGGCAGACTAGGCATGAGACCAGGCCTCCCGCCAGTTAAAAACAACAACTAATTTGGTCTTCGCAAATGGGAATGGCGTACGTGTTTATTCACATGTAGAGCGGGAAAGTGAGATCCAATCACAAGCCACTTGAGACGTATGTGGGTAAGTGGCAACCTCTGTTGCTGGTAAGGGAAGCCAATACGGAAGAGCTAAAAACTGTAGTTCCTCTAACGGCCACTTGAGGTTGGCTAGAGAAGTGAGTCAACCTCCATAAGGCCCCATATTAAAATGCCCAACCTTACAGCAGAAATAAACACGTTTACAGCCTGGAACAAAAAACAGGTTTGGTCTCTAGCTAATTTCACTGTTTATGAGAACTACACAGGGGTTTAAACCTACATGTTTAAATTATATAGAGGTTTCAAGTTATGCATAATTAAGGGAATGGCCGCTTTGAGTGACAGGTGGGTGCTGTCACAGGCAGCTGGTTTCAGCAACCAGGCTTCATTTGGCCTGCCTCAGCTCCTCCCATGCTCCACCTCTTTGCCCATCTTTGGATTAACTCTGAGGCGGCGGAGTCAGGCACTGCCAAGATAGCGAAACACACAACAGCTTTTTTTAAAAACCTATGGGTGACATCACGGAGAATAGGTCCATCTTTAATTATGCAGTCTGATGTACCTAGAGCTGTCTACTTGTGATCGGAGCACTCAAGCTAAAGACAGATAATCATCAATGACAAGTAATTCTGACTTTGTGCTGCTCAGAGACATTCTCTCCTGCTTTTTTCACACTTCAACACTTTGGATTACAGTTTCTGAGTTCATGTTTCACCTTGACCTCAGACAATCCTTTTGAAAGCCACACATCAATAGCAAAGACTTCTCTCTCAGAAATGCGGTGAGAAATAAGAAGCAATGTATTGTCTGAGAGACAACTTTCATAAGGCAGTGCACTATTCACCTGCTGCTTTTCAGCGCACTTGGATTTACAGTATCTCATTCTTCATGTATTATTCATCACAATCTCATTCAATATTTTAAACAAAAATGTCTTCTTTTTTTTTAAAATTAAAGTCAGATATTTTTTTATCCCATATTTTAAACATGTGCTCTATAAAAGATGATAAGAATGGCTGCGATTTTTATTTAACTAGTTTATTATCAGAGGAAGCTTGAAAGCGTCAGTAACAGGATCACTCCAGCAGACTGAGACCTCACTGATTTATTCATCTGCATTTTTTCACTTTCACCTCAGAGAAAACACAACGACAATGTATAAAAAAAATACCTAAAATACCTCTGAAAAAGTAAAGCAAATCTGTTGCACAAAAATCTTGAAAGAAGTTAAAATTATTTGACCATTAGTGACACTCTGTTTTCTACAAAATTCCCGGGAATTTCTCCATGGAATGACAGATATATTTTTAGTCTTCTGAACTATGCTGCAACTGCAAGAAGACTTCTTGCAATTGCCTGCGGGGGCTTTTTGAGTTGGCTGGATCAGTGACTGCTTCTTATTCTAATGTTATGTGTTTGGATTACCTGTCACAATCTATTACAGGCAGGGTTTGCCTCCATTTGGAGCGGAGCTGCTGCATAAAAACATCTAAGGCAATCATGAGCGGGGGTAAACAAAGCAAAACACTAATGGCTTGTCTCAAATCAACAAAAGAAAAACAGGCAAACTTGTTTAACGGTGATAACGAGGAGGATGAAAGGAAACATTGCAGTCTTTGTGATGGGTTGGAATTTGCAGTGTAGGGCTTCGTAATGTGGACAACAGCCATGATGAGAACTAGCTGCTTTTTTCTTTCTCTCTCCTGCCAAAGGTTTCGGCATTAACGTGTCATAATCCAGACATCTCTCTCAGTCAGGGTGATGAAGACAAGAGAATGTTTCTGCCTTCGTCTGAGGAAATGCCATTTCATCATTGATTTATTCATTCAGAGTGTATAATTTCTCTACTGAGGCACGGCGGACAAGATATAAACCCATTTTGATTGATATCCTTCCCTTTTTCTGAACGGCGCCTACAATTAAAGTGTTCTTCTCTGGCCACAGGACACATAATTAAGATAACAGGGGTGTATTAAGGAATTAAGTTGCATGGCCAGGGTGATAGTACAGCCAGTATGATAGGAGAAGAACAGTTAGAGATGAAAACAGTAAAGCAGTCTAAAACTAATTATGGACTTAATTTCTTATGTAATTTCAAGCCTAAAATATCTTTTAGTTCTACTGTCTATACTGTGCAGAATAAAATGACTGATGTAGAAATGGCAACAGTAAATAGGGAAAGAAACTAACTTTAGAGATTATCTCTGTTATCATGTACATTTAATATAGATGGTAGCTGTCTGGTAAAAAAAAACCTGCATCTCCATAAAGTCAGCTTTTCATGAGCTAAAAAAATAAATTAAATTTAAATAATTAAAGAATATGCTCACACCTTTTCATAAAACATTAGTCAGGTGCCCATATGTACACTGAAACAGTTTTTGCTCACTGTAGTCCACTCCTCTTGTTCATACTGGCTGTTAGAAGGCCCCTTCTTCACTTGTTCCGATGTAAGACAAAATGCACAAAGCATTTGTTTTATGCAAAAATACATTACAAAGTTCAACTGAAGCTAATATGCAGCTTCACCAGTCCAAGTTAGACAAATCAAGTGGACATCTTCCAAAGTTACAGAATTCCCTCTGTGACCAGGAGGCGTGATTACAGCGAACAAAACCTGTTTCACTAAACATATGGACACCTGACTATTTTTAGTTTGAAGGCAGACTGTGAAGCAAATTTGGAGACAACCATATACTGTAAAATCACATTAATGTTACCCTTACTATCATCCAATAATATATAAATGAATGATTTAGACATAAGGGAGATGATTATGGGACAATTTTTAGATATTTGATGCTTTCATCATATATATATCTACTTACTAATAACTGATTTTAACAATAATGTCAAATGGCCTACGCCCAGCAATACAGTACGTACACGGAGGCACTGCAACTCGCCAGACACATTAAAAGGTCATTATGGGCTTTTACCTGTTTTGTTAACCTGTTGATTAACCTCTGATTACTTCCAAGTAAGCGTAGACATTATTTTAAAAACTATTCTTATTCATAGGAGATGTAGCGTGGCGGCTGCGGCTCAGGTAGTAGAGCAGGTCCTCTACTGATCACAGTGTTGGTGGTTGGATCCCAACCCCCTCCTGTCCTCGGGCAAGACACTGAGCCGCGGGCTGCTACCCAGCCACTGCATTCCTAATTGCCGGTCCAAAGCCCAGACAATTATCTCGTGTAGAAAAGCCTGTGCCAAATCAAATGAGTCATACTTCCATCCCAGTATGGGTGGGGTCCGGTTTGCCAGCAAGGTGGAAACCGATGAGCCACGGTGTCGACCCCTATACTAAATACTAAATACAGTTATACTTGGTACAGTACAACTATCAGCACCAAAACAGACCTTTTTACGGGCCAGATGTGACAGATCCATGTTAAATTCTGTTGTTTAGTCAATTGTTATAAAATTGTAACAGCACAATTTTATAAAAACTTTTAGAACATTTTAGTTAAACGTTAAAAGCACAAGCCTTAAAAGGATGTTGGTGTCTCTAATTGCTGTTAAGAAAGCATGTGTAGTTTAGCTTCATGTTACCCGGCCAATATGAAATACTGATCTGATACTAGTGTTCTTTGTACGTGGGTTTGATATCTATATACCTAACTGTGTGGGATCATTCATCTTGGTTTTGGTAATAGATCTGGTATCATAAAAAGCAGACTGGTGAGTCCTTAGTAAAAACACTTTAATTTGACTAAAAATTCTGTGAATTTAGGAAATAAACAGTGGAAGAAAGGATTTGTGTGGAAGTTTGGGGCCTTTCTAGCCTTTTGACCACTCAAAGCGCTTTTAGACTATATGCCACATTTACACACATTCATACAGTGAAGGCCATCACAAACAGAAACTAACATTCATACACTGGTGCACGGCATTGGGAGCAATTTGGGGTTCAGTATTTGCTCAAGGACACTTTGACATGCAGCAGGAGGAGCGGGATCAAACCGTTAACCTTCTGATTAGTGGATGACCTGCTCTACCTCCTGAGCTATAGCCGCAGTAAATCCTGTCAATGACTTATTTAATATCTAACTGCTCGAGTGTCCCGTTCTATGTGTTAAGGGAAAGCAGCTCTGTTGACTAGCTCAGCCCCTTGGTTAAATAAAACCATGAAATTGAGAAGTGTAACTGTGGTTGTACTGCACCTTTTAAAATAATGTACAACTTATAGTTTACATTTAGGTCTAACGACATGGATGGACAAAGATCATGCTGCTAATCTCCAGGATGCAGTCTTGTACTGTCTATGTACAGTTTGTGTGGGAAGAGCGGTGAATTTACACGCATTGCATAACTTATTCAAATTATGTAACATTCTGTCTCCAAAGTTACAAAGGAAGCATTCATTTAGGATAGAAAACTGGTCAGATCAAATGTGGGGCTTAAGGAGGATTTTTCTTCCTGCTTACATTGAACAAAGGAATGTAAAGCACTTGGAGGATTTCGCAGCAGAGGTCAAGTGCTGAGAGTGTCAGTAAGAGCGCAGAGGCCAGATATCCCGGGAGGGACAAATGCCTGTGGGTATTATGACCAGCAAAGCAAAGAAAAGTGACCAGGCTCCACCAATAGGTGTCAGCCTTCTATCCTTCCTGCATCAGAGCTCTCAGAACTGAAGAAAGTATGTTTGTGTGTGGGTCCTTGAGTTGGGGTGGCTGGCTCCAGGCAGCATCTGGAGCTGGACGTCTCTGCAGTTGGCTGCAACTCAAATGGACAGACAGTTTTGCTGGACTTGGTGCATGAACTCAGTGTAGAGCTCGCGGCTGTCTTTGCTTTCTGTGCTGACTCTCAGAGAGTTACTGACAACCAAGAAAATGTTATGCAACAACAGTTTCTCTCACCTGATAATCGTATGAGTTCATCGGAGGAGGAGGAAAGGAACCAGAGGATGGTGGGAAACCGGTTGAGTCTTCCGCAGGTGGTGGAGGGGGAGGGTAGTCCACTGGGATGGACACACACACACAGACACAAACACACACAAACCAAGAGAAACAAAAACGGCTTATTAAATACTTCCCCTTTTTTCCTACATTCAAACTGTCACAGTTCCAACAGACACTATACCACCGAATTAACACAAAAAAGTTAATGAATAGAACTTATTTTATTCACATTTTCAGAAATGATATTAAAGAAAACTTGCAAAATAGTAAAGAAAAAGTAAAAGTAGTTGTAAAGAAAAAGTAAAAAAAAAAAAAAACACGGGGGTACAACTCTATGGTTAAAGTGAGTCATATAAACTCCTTCAGTTACATCAAAAGAAATATCTAGACAGAGAACAGTTCTGATTAAAAGTAGATAACACAGTAAGGTTACTGAGGTTACTGAGTATAAATATATGAATAGATCGGCCTGAGCTCCTGCATGCTGATCTGTAGAGAATGTGATCACACATTCCTGTGCAACCATGTGCATCCATTTAAAAAAAAAAAACATGAAAGTTTATTGTAAACCTTTTTTATTTGTGGAAGCTACAACAAATAAAAAACACATTGTGAAGAGTTGTACAGTTATGTTAGTTACCATAGCAACAAATGCTTGAATTTTACAACTTAAGACAGAAAGAAAGAAATGTTGATTGTAGCAGCTTTAATCTTCTTTCTTTTTTATATTAACAATGGATGAAATGGCTATGTGTAATGGGAAAGGGTCTGCTCAAAGTGATGAACCCACATTGAATTATCAACTAACAGCTATACAGAGCGCTTTAGAATCCTTTAGCTCTTTGTTTTGGTTTATCACTTTATTGCTTTGGTTCAGTCTCACTGCTCTCATTAGTGTCACACGTGTTTGTGTTCAGTTCAACAGAGATGCATTGCTCACTAGTGTTAGTGACTTTACGGTCCTGCAAATACTCATCAGGATCTGAATGATTATTATGGTACAGGTGTTTTAAAGTTCAATATTTAAAACACAGTAAATTAAGATAACAGTTTCTTGTTTGAAATATAATATATCATGTAGGAAAGGAAGACCAGTGTATTGAGTATTTACTTAAAGTGCACAATTTCTTAAAACCAGCATCTGTACAAAATGCTGACAAGTTTGGACTCATTTGTCTTGAAGTGTAAAATCAAATCAGACATTCGAAAGATGGTCAATACAGTTATTACAAAAAAAATGAAAGACAAATAAATGGAGTCTTGTCATCCCACGTCAGTGGATTGACACACATAATTGCAGCAATTTGGTTAACTGAGAAGCACTAATCTGGAGTAAGCATGTGTTTTTTTCCCCTGAGATTGGAAATGTAAATGTTGTGTTACAAATGGGTTAGACTAGGTGTTTGTTCTGCCAGAAGAGGAGAAACAAGCCAAATTTGTAGTTCTAAAGTCCACGCTAATCCAAGGATTGCATCCAACCACATGTTTGAGACAGGATAAGGACTAACGTGCCAAATTAAATTCTGATTTGGCTTCTCTTGGCACAGGACTTAAGACTGAATCATTTGACCATGTACTTCTAAGTACCAAACCAGACATGAGCTTTGCAAATTAAAGGCTTTTATGAGACGTAATGGGAATTTGTTCCAATGCTAGGACTTTGATGAGTCCTGTTCAGAAATTCCATTTGCTTTCCATGGCTTTTATCTGTTTTCATTAGAATCTAATTGATGTCATCAATGTAGTTTATCCAAGGCAGCTGACCAAATTAATTAAGCGTGGTTTTCAGTTGCTTCGACAAAACAGCCGAGAGAAAAAAAAGAAAGAAAGAAAGATAATGTAGCATGGTTAAAATTGGACACATGTCTGCGTCTTGAGCATTACAACATTTCAGAAATTGTGAGCATTGCATTAAACATCCCCTCTGGGTGCTCTAGGGCCTCCATGTGAATTGTTTATATAATAACCTTGTGACCTCCGCTAAAACTCCAGAGTGTAACAGCTCCTCTAAACCTCTGGGAGAGAAAATAAAATATGCTGCTCAACAACAAGGCTCTGCCCCACTCCTCCCTCCCCTCTCGCTCAGGCCCACATCCTTTTTTGCCAGAATATAAGTCACTTGTAACTTGTGGCTTACAGAGAATTAAAACATTAGGTTTCATGTACATTTCTCTCGAACATCAAAGATGTTTTGGATTTATCATTTCAGGAAACACAAGAGTTGTAAATGTTTCAGAGATGCATGTTTTATTGAAAAGGTCTTACGAGTTCTGTATGTGGAACAGTGGAAAGCAAGACTTGGAGCTGGAACAGGGGTCATTAAGGATCTTTGCTGAAAGGATCTTTCTGGTTATTTCCCTCCTCAACCTCATTTTTTGAGTACCTGTCTTTGTGACATTTTCAGTCATTTAGGATTGAAATGTGTTAATGTGCTAATGTTGAACATAGTCGCTAGTAGTGTTTATTTTCCCTGTAATCCTTCCAAGCAAAATCATTTTCTCTCATACACGCCTGCACTCAACCTTGAAGCCATTTGTGGTTGATTGAGGGTCAGCAAAGAAATAGCGATTTAATAGAAGCCCTTTCAATTAAGTGGCACATAATATTATAGCTTATTTCCATAAGTAAAATCATTCTATAACAGGAACTATCTGCACACTCATAAAAACAAAACTCCACGGCACTACTAGTGGTCCAAAGCTCTACATGGTACCTTTAATTGTTAGTTTGATGCTTTTGTCATCATTCACACACTTCCCTGTTTACTTTGCTGTCTGCTGGTCTCCTGCCATGTTCCTATCATATTGGACAAGTATTCACATTTAAAATGTACAAATGCCTACATCCAAAAACATCAAAACATCAAATAATGTTGCATTACAGCAAAACTAACCTAACTAAAAAACAGCACGCTGCATGTTTGGTGTCATGTAACCCTATATGACCGCAGGAACTATTTGAGGAACTTTTTTAGGAACTTGATATATTAATCTGCATTTCCATGGCCACAGAAACCTAGTTCCAGTTTCAGTTCCTGGGATCAATACATGCCCCCCTTAAAGCCCCACAGTAGTTCTTTCTGATAACCCGACGAGTATCAGGGTTGAATTTGCAGTACTGAACACAGCTAACTGGTCAAACATAAGCTTCCAGACTGACAGAATAACAATCATTTAGAGTATAAGCAAGCACTGGCTGCAGCTAATATTAGCATTAGGGAAGCAAATTTGGTTAATGTTAATAATATTTAAACACACTTTCTGTATGTAGCCGACTCATAGACTGGTCTAAAAAAAGAGTGAGATAAAGGGAGAGTAAGTGACAAGCAACTCAACTTATTTCCTTTTTTTTAAAAAATATGGTTCCATATTAAAAGCAGAAAATAACCAGAACTTTCCAAAACATGGTGGTTTTTTTTAAATATTACGAAATCAGTGAAAATCTGAAAAAAAACATCTACATACTGAAAAAACCTCTAAACACATATTCAAATATTACAAAGATATATGTGTTTTCTTCCAACTTTTCTACTTCTCTTTCTTAAAACGCACGCAAACACGCACGCACGCACGCACACACACACACACACACCCACCCACCCACACACACACCCGCACACACACACACACACACACACACACACACAAACGCACACACACACACACACACACGCATGCATGCAATAGTGGTGATGTTAAATTTGAACACTTTGTGGATCTATTTTGCATCTTTTTCACCCTGTTTCAAACCAACCAGTACAGGTCCCTCACTGGCTTCCCACACAGCCAACTGTGTTTATTTAAAAATTTGACCAAGCCAGAGGCACCATCTCCAGGGATCAATCCCTGGGTCCACAAAAAACTTGAACTATGCGGCCAATATTTCTTCTATTTCTAATAAATCTGAAATCAGCACGTGTTTGAGGTGTTAAGCACTTTCTGTTCTGCGGGTTTGCGCCATGCTTATGCTGTCAGGCTTTAAAGCAGTGTGAACTAGGCAGAGTGAGAACGGCTTCAGTGCTGTGAATGAAGCTGGCTCCATTTGTGACAATAGGGAGTTGAAAGCTCCAAGTGAGCACTAATGAGAGAAGCAGCAGGAAGACCTACTTAATACGACAACTTCCCCTCTCTTTATTGAGCAATTACTTTTAAGTAGCTTCTTTGTGAACAAGGAATCCTAATCAGTGATTAAAGTTATTTGAGAGGCCATAAGAGGTATAATTGGTTATCGGGAACCAGAGTATTGTTAAGGGGAAGATAAAAGGGTGGAGATGGATCCAGCTGTGACACTGGGACTAATATTAAACTTTGTTTTTCAAGTAAGTGGTACATTTATAAAACACATCAAGTACTGTATATAACTAATGACAGACAGCTGTGATAATCGTATACATCCATGTCTATGTGTAAAGGCTTTGAAATTATGGATTGTGTTATAAAAAATAAAAAAAAAAAAGAAATACCATTAGTTTGGTAGGGAGGAAAAAAACCCACTGCAGGTCTATTTTTAAGTAGTTCTGCTCTGTGGTACAGATTAGTATATTCTATGGGGGCTGAAGGTTGAGCATATGTTTACAGATTTACACATGTACAATATTATCAGAGTTACACGTATGTCCGCGTCGGCCATCTGCTCTTTATAGACTTAGGACAAAGCCCAGCACAACTGCCTTTCTCATAATGCATCCAACATTTCCCTGAAGGAAAGTGTTTGCAGAAGAAAGAGCAGACCAGATAAAACTAAAGAAACCTCAAACAGGGAGTTACTATAAAAAAAAAAATTAAAAAAAACCACACCATGTTTGCCTGTGTGTTTGGGTGCACGGAACATAAATTATATCCCACAATCTGATCTTGATTTATTGCTGAAAGCTTGAGGTGCTGGTATCTGTTAGTATTCATTAGCCAAAATAACGGCAGGGGAGTGAGATAGTGTGGGTCCACGTGTCACGTGACAGCTCTACTTGCATCAAAGTGTTGGAATGTTTAGTTAAAAAGGTACAGTACAGTACCTGACCCCTAAAATCTAAATTGTTCATTGTTTTAAATTTGCACAAACC